CATTTGTATGAAAAAATCTAAACCGCGTAAGATAGATGAAGGGGTAAAACGGGATCCACGCGTACGAAGTCGCGGGCGGCCGCTAGTATGCAATAAGTCTCGAAAATGGCCGACACCATTTATATACCTAAATAAATACATAGCTGTTAATTTTCTGTAGGTAGGTACTCACATTCGGTCTAGTCTGTCACTAACTGCATCTGCCTGACATTGAGCAACATCGGAAATCACAAATTCAATCACGTAGTCCAAAATCCAACAATATTTTTGAGGAACTTTTATAACGTAGTTATATGCATTATACATTATGACTTCCTGTATGTTTTCAATGCAGGAAAATCTCAAAATTTACTTACGGCTTCAACTAATAAAAGCAAAACACCGTTGAGCATGTACCGTTACATAATGCAAGACATTTGGAGAAACCACAGACCCGACTTAAAAACTACCGCGACATGGCAATCAAAATATTCAATGTAGCCGTACATTTAATTGGTAACAAACTACACTGAACTAAATATACATATATGTATACGGGTTGGTAAGTACGTACTCGTAGTTCAAAGATAACCATAGATTATTACATATGACGATGGTAGGAGTTCCACTTCGTTTGCCATCAATTGGGCTGTATAATTTTCCTGTTCGCATTACATGAGTTGCAAAATGTTTGATATTATTTTCCAACATGACTGTGTATTTTGTTGCGTTTAACTTTTTAAATAAATTCTGTAAAGTAAGCTAAAGCATGAAAAAAGCTTTGTGTTGGTAACTTAACTTATTTACCGACACAAGGGTAAGTTAAAACTCTACCTTTCATAATGTCTAACTTACTAAATTGAAATTATTTGTCAACAACGTAGGCGACAAAATAATATTTACATTTAAGAAGTCCTGAAAGTACCTACCTAAATTTTGACTAGCGTTAAGTACTGGTGTAATATCGTTACCTATTCTTTAAAGATTAAGGCTGAGTTGCACCACCTAACTTTAACCGTAACTTTGACGATAACCGGTGTTTTTTGTATGAAGTTTGATAGATTTTTGACGTTGTTAAAGTTAAAGTAAGATAGTGTAACTCAGCCTTAGGTTTGTACCTAACTTACCTAATACCGATGGATTTAGTTAGATTATCTACAGCTTTTACAATCAAGTCTGAATTCAAAATAGATAAAACAATAAAATTGACGCAGGTTAAAAAATAGCGTTATAAAGTCATTAAAGTAATTACAATCTGCACAATCAGTTATAATTACACGAGATAAGAGTGTAATCATATGTCATCAGCTATTGAGAGCGCTGCACACAAAGCGCTATCTCAATGCAAATAATACCTAATTGGTGTCATTATAAAGGTCAACTAATTAGGACTGAACTAATTCAACACCTAATGATAGCCTGGTAATACAATGTTACTAAGGCATTATGTAAGATTGCCTATTGCCCTATGCCTTGGGTCTTAATAACATAGGTACATAAAATATAACGACTATCAACCGATTTTGTAAAAGCTTTTTAAATTAACCTGCTTCAGTAAGCAGTCCTAGCTAGCAGTATAGAGTGGAGGGAGACAAAAAAAGCTCTACCGAGATGTATAAACTTTTACTTATGAACTTTCAAAAACAACTTTCGTATGTTCAAAAATAAAATTAACCTATTCAATGCAATGAATAATAGATTTGCATTAAATTTTAGGTACGGGCATGTTTTTTTCGTGACTAATACCACAGCTAATACAAACATGGAATTCACCAATTACCTACTCGTATATATGTAGTCGTCATAAGTTATTCTTCAAATAGTATTTTTGGGTGGACCAGGGCATACTACAAAGCAATGTTATTTAAACTTAAGGTCTAACACCAGTCTCAATTGTCAATATAGTCGGCGATAATAGAATTTGGCAATATTGTTTTAGGCAAATACAAAGAAACAATGATCTGGACATTATTTTACGTTGTATGATAATTGACATCAATCATCATCACATAGGCAACTCCGTTTTTAAAATGAATTTAATGATTTTAAGCTATCGTACTCTGCTATCGTGTCGTAAAGTTTTTCTGAATCCGTCCAGTATTTTTGCGTGAAATCCTGAAGATCATCCATTCAAGCAAACATTCTAACGTAAATAAATAATTTTCTTTCTATGGAGTTAAAAATCAATCATTAAAAATCATAATCATCATTTCTTACAAGAGTACCAGAATTTATGAATAAGCGTCGACTTGCTTGGAAGTTTCCATTAGGTTAGATAGACGGGCTATAATATTATCTCGACATATCAAATAAGAAACTAGTCAAACCCCACTCAACATTAAAACATTTAGTTCACGTTTAGTCTTATCAATAGGTCCAAACTTAAAGTTACAGGATCTGAACATAATACTATTTGGTACTACCTAATATTAAGAGTTCCATAGTAGTCTGGGCGTAGAGGCATGCAGCTGTTTGTGCAATGGTTGCATTCACCGCTGCTTGCGACACCGCTGGATGTGTGAACGAGCTGCACGGAGCCATCTAGGCTTTGGGTCCTTACTACCGAACTTGTGACAGTTTAGCCGACTTACTATGTATTTACAAAGTACATGATATTATGTAAACTGAAAAACAATGTTACCTAATTGTATTTGACGTTGCTTGTGACTTTTGAGTGTGCTAAATCATAACTACTCTCAAGAAAATAATTACTAAGTTGAAAGGTGAGTACTTATAAAATAGAGCATTTACTTGTAACAGAACAACGAACCGCTCTATAAAACGTACTAGTGTCAATGTCACTCTTTCACGAAACAAAAGTTGTACATTTTTTGTAGCTGTATTTTCATTCGTAAGAACGTTACATTACCTAGAAATAATCTAGTCTGTACTCACCTTTAACTTGACCACACGACTCTACCATTTTAACATGACAGGACACTTGAAGCAAAATCTGTTTGACAAGTATTTTACGAAGTCTAGTGATATTTGTTAGTTTACCAGTCTTCAACCAATGACAGCAATTCTGATCAACCTTGAGCCACGAGCTCGCCTCAAAAGGTTGCCATACGGCAGACGTCACGCTACAATGCGCTGCTTGCCTAACGACGGCGTTTCCGTCAAACGATATCTCCACGTTATAAAATATCATCCACGTTTCGCCACTGTCTCTATCGGCACAGATTTTACCCAGGAACTATCTGTATGAGCTATAATATGAGATGTTTAACATATGATTTGGTGGAAGAAGCACCATGTCAGCTAATTTTGCTGGTGCCGTTCGAAATATAGAGAAAAATAAGGGGACTGCCTTTTGGTGTTTGCCTGAAAAGCACAATATTGAACTGTACTAAACAAAAATGAAAAGAATTCTAAATTACTTCACACTATACTGACCCAAATTGTAGGTGAATACTTAGAATACCTCCATAAAACGTTAAGTAAAAGAAAACCGCGTGCATTTACTACGTCTTTAAGTTTGGTGAGAGACTTACCCTTGCAACGGAAAGTGAATGGAAGTAAAGATCGGGGCCGCATGGAGCGATTTGTCAATTATTGAATACCTAGATCTTGTTGATTGACGTAGGAGCTAAGTTCTTACTGAATCGGTTGATAGAGTTCATACACATCGAATTCAAAAAACACCTAAAGTATCAGATCGAATTCTGATTCGTGAAATGAACTTAAGCAAAAACCAAAACAAATACGAACGTAACTTATTTTCCCAAATGACGTTAAACATACCAGTGAAAGCATTACATAAACACGAAGGCCGATCGTTAAATACCAAATCAAACAGGTACCGGAGCCAAAAACAGCTATAACGAGCGCTTTTGATCCAGTTTGCACACGTTGATCTTGAAAGTAATAGCAATCGACGAAAAAATTCTGATACCGCACCAATGCAGTTATTACAGAACGAAATAATCATTCTGTGATTCAAAACAATGATAATTTCAACCGAGATAACTCAAACTTCTTAAACAATGTCCAATATCTTAAACAATATGTAGAGAAATCTGGTAGACATTTCAAGAGAAAGGCTTTTAAGTAAAGTTATTATGTACTTGGATAAATCCTGGACGAAATAATACATATCTATGGTAAAAGCTTTTATGTAAGATTTGGTTTTCATTAAGTTCACTTCTTCAAGCACTTTTTTAACATCTCTCATTTTGTTAAAATATCATTTTTGAGACATTTTTATGTGCAGTCTCAAAATGTTAAACCATCGAATGGTTTTGGTTCCTAAATATTCATACTGCATAAGCGTACCTAGCTATTGTATGCGAACGCCAGAGATCTGTAGTTTGTATTAATAGATGTTTATCTTTCAACGTGTTCTATAATATTTTAGGTATTTTTTTAGACGAGGTAATTTACAGACAACCTGAATGCCTTCAATTATCCTAATAGCAGCTCGTAGGTATTTGTTTTACTAAAAGCTCTTTTATCTTCCTAATTCGTGTTTACATTTAAACCGGGGACTTCCTTCTCTGTGTGTTTAGTGCACTAATTTTGTTTTCTCTGTCTCGGTGGTGATTACCCATAAAATATAAATAGCAATTATTGACAAGGTCAAAGTCTGCAAACGTTTTGCAGGTTTTTTACCTTATCTAACAGATTTGCTATGTTTATGAAGTGTCTTCCGCGTGACTAACCGAAAAACCATAAATGTAGTGGTACAAAAGCACTGTTCTGTATAAGTATGGACAGACAACCATGAATTAATCTTATGAGCGGTCGTGGAGCGGTTATAGAGTTATTTTGCCATAAATGTCTAATTTGCTGGTGACTTTACTTGTACGAAGTTACAATACAAACTTTGACTGACTGTGTAAGCAACCAAAACCGACTTGGGTAAAGAAATAGCAGTGATGTAAGTGTTAGGTTAGATATCAAAAGATTCAAATGTATAAAACGAATGTTTGAGTTGTTTTGTAAAAACTAGTTTGTTCCTATAATAATGTATAGACATAATAAAAATTAAGACTTAATAAGGCTTATTTCATTATTTTCAGGTACCTAACACAAAGGGGGGCTACGAAGCTACCCTATAGCTCGGACTACCCCGAGTTATGCCAAACATTGCGGCCCAGCACCAGTGATCAGCATCAGGATGGCCACAGAAACGCAGGAGTACATCAACGGCATGAGGCCGGGCCCTCTTACCAGGGAGATTCCCGAGTGCATGAGGGACAAATACACAGTGCTCCAGTCAATCATGGACTTAGTAGTGTTCGTAATATTCGCAATAGGAACCGTGATACAGGCCATTTATAGGACAATAGTGGGAGTGCCTAAGAAGGACTTAAAAGGGAAAATTGCCCTAGTGACCGGCGGCGGCGGAGGCCTGGGCAGCCTCATTGCGTTGAGACTCTCCAGGCTGGGATGCACCATCGTGCTGTGGGACATCAACAAACAAGGTCAGTACCACCACTAGTACACTCAGCGTCAAGAAGTTCGTGAACCCAAAATAGCCTATAAGTCGCAACACGTTTTTGTTACAATTAGAATAAGATTGTGTCATTAACTTTTTGGCCACTTTGGGTGTCATGAACTATGTGATGCTGAATGTAGCACCAGATGAATTTATTTTATTTCATGATGATACAACACCGCATATGCTAATCCAAAAATGCGCGTATAATATTGAAATTGCCTTTCGCAACAATATCGTAAAATTGATGTATCGTATAATTAACGTGAGTATGTTTTATGTCTTCGGATATATTGGTTAATAACGGATTAACCTTGAGAAAGGACAGTCAATCCATAAAACTTTAAATCTCAATTTTTGAAAAAATAAAGAACATTGAACAACGTACTTTTATATTTTTTGAGTTTATTGCTCAATTAGCAGCCTTTACACAGTATAATACATTATATTAGGTATCATATAAAATATTGATATAAAAACAAAGGATTTTTCCCAAATGTAAAGGAGCATTTTATTTTTGTTATTAAAATAAATAAATAAAAAGTTTTTATTTCGAACAACTCACAGTTCATAATGTGGTTAGTAAACACACACCGTAAATGCTAATGTTAGCAATCATTATCAAGTGATTATTATTTTCCAGTGTATATCAATATTATAATTAAATCAAAAATAAAAAAATCAATAGATTAAAAATCAAATTAAATTAAATCAATTCAAAATCAATAAATGTAATTAAATTCAATCAATTATAATAAATAATTTATCATTCTCATGTAGGTACCTACTTAAAGTGCCAGTAGCGTTTATCAGTTAGCAGGTACTAGTTTTAGTATGTTTTGATCGAAGCGAGTAGGTTAATGTACTTTTTGTGTACATAAACAATACACAGATCATGTAAATAATCACTTGTTTTCATTAGCACGAGATAACGTACATAGAAGGCCTCAGTATAGATTCTATTATGAAGTCTTCTTAGATTATTCTGCAAAACGATATCGTCATGTTCTTGTAACAATAGAAATCAATAGATGTAAATATGCATCTATTGAATTCAGTTGGCCTCTCTTACTCTCTTCTCATTTTTCGTGAGGCAGATATGGCCAAAATATTGAAATAATTTTTAGGATAAATCCACGAACCCAAGGTACATAAATAAATAATAATACAGACTTCAAAACAGCTAGATACATAATATAGAGCTTTGACAGATTTTCAAAATACTTATTTAAATACGTTTATTTCATGGATATAAAAACCATAGTACGAGTACGACGACTACATATACGTAGTCAATGTAGGTAAATGTTAAAAACAAAAAATCCAACAGTTTAAAGACAATTAGGTACGACAAAAAATAAAAATTGTTATCGACAATTATAGGCCACAGGTCAAAAGTTAACAAAACAATGAACTTTGTAGGTACCTACTATGAGGTGAAATGTCTGAAGCCTAATTTTGACAGTTCTGCGTCACAAAACGTTCAAAAGATGTTCGGCACTATAAATGACATTCAAAACTTGCTTGACACATTTTAAGGCTGTGATGCTCTACCTTAAATATTGAAAAGTAATTTGCTTGAATGTTTGCTTACTTGAGTTTTTAAATAATTTTGAGTGTCGTTTAAAAATACGAGTTAAGTAGGTACCTACCTACTTACCGAGTTAGCTTTGATTCAATGACAAAATTAACTTAGTTAATGCACTTTTGTTTTTAATCAATTAATAGAATCGAATCGATATTGAACATCTCTAGGCCTAGATGACGACAGACATGCTGCTGCCGATAGATGTACCTATAATAATTAACGCATTCACATCGTTCCTACTAAAAGGACTAGAAAGATTGGTAGACCGACATCTCAGGGATGGCGTGCTGAAAAGCAAACCACTACACCCCCAACAACACGCCTACAGGAAAGGCAGATCAACAGAGTCGGCTCTACACATGGTAGTACATAAAATAGAGTCGGCCATCACAAACAAAGCGTCAACTCTTGCTGTCTTCATAGACATAGAAGGAGCGTTTGATAAAACTATGCACAACAGCATAAACCACGCCCTGGAACAATTCAACGTAGAACCAGCCGTAAGAAGCTGGGTCACTGAACTAGTTAGCAAAAGGGCGGTTCAGGTGGTGGCGAACACGACTACCAGAGCAGAGGTTGTCAGAGGATGCCCTCAAGGAGGCGTCCTATCGCCACTACTATGGAACATGGTAGTGGACAGTCTGTTAAGGAAACTAAATGACAGAGGGTACACGGCCATTGGATATGCAGATGACATCACCATACTGTTAAACGGAGGGGCTGAAAACGTGCTATGTGAAATAATGCGTTCAGCCCTGAACATTGTTGAAAACTGGTGCAGCGACCACCAGTTGTCAGTAAACCCAAACAAAACTGAACTAATCCTTTTCACTAACAAAAGGAAACTACCAGAGCTCCAGCTACCAGAACTCTTTAAAACAAAACTCTCCCTCTCAACACAAGTGAAGTATCTGGGCATCACCTTTGACCACAAATTGAACTGGGCGAGTCACATTGAAAACAAGACAAAGAAAGCCTGTATAGCATTTTATCAGTGTAAAAGACTCATTGGTAGCAGATGGGGTCTTAACCCAAAGATAACACTTTGGCTCTACACATCAGTTATCAGGCCCTCTGTCACTTACGGATCAGTTGTCTGGTGGCCCAGAACAAAACTATCCACAGTAAGATCAAAACTCCAAAGCCTGCAACGTCTAGCAAGCATAGCGGCCACCGGTTGCATGAGAACCACACCATCGGCATCACTTGAGTACCTTCTGAATCTTAGACCCTTAGATCTCATCATTCAGGAGGAAGCGCAAGCAGCCGCTCTAAGACTTAAAGGAAACGGCCTATGGAAGCAAAACAAGGAGACAGGACACTCTGCGATCCTGCAGAAAACCATAAAAGAAATACCTCTCACTGAGGCACCAATCGATAGGATACCCTGTGAACACATTTTCGACCGAAGATATGATATCCAACTTACAGCGGAGACGCGAGATTACTCTGGAATCAATGAAGTTAGGATATACACGGACGGCTCCAAAACTCAAACGGGTACAGGAGCTGGTGTCTTCTCGAATGATCTTAATATAAGAATATCAACAACTTTAGATAAACACAATACAATTTTCCAAGCAGAATGCATTGGAATCACCAAAGCAGCACAGGCGGTAACAGCCAGAGACATCCGAGGTCTAAATATAAGAATTATCTCGGATAGTGCATCCGTACTGCAAGCGCTACAAAGCAACACAATAACAACGGCCCTTATATTGGAATGCCATGAAGCGCTCCAAGACATTGCAGCTGTAAATGGAGTTACCCTACAATGGATCAAAGGGCACAGTAACTCTTTAGGCAACGACGCAGCGGATGAACTGGCAAAAAGAGGTTCGGACACAACAGTATTTGGCCCGGAACCAATACTGCCGATACCACAAGCACAGATCAGGAACTGGCTGCGTTCCAAAACAGAAGAAAAACACCACACAGAATGGAAAAATAGCGAAGGATGCAGGCAAACAAAAGATGCGGTTCCGGACGTATCGAAAAAGTTCTCCCGCAGCCTCATCAGACTAAACAGGGACAGCATCCGCAAGGTTTTAAGTGTCATAACAGGACACTGTATGCTAAACAAGCACCTATACAACATAGGTGTCACAGACAGCCCACTGTGCAGGGGGTGCATGGAGGCAGAGGAAACACCGCAGCATGTGCTCATGGAGTGCAGTAGCGTGGAAGAACAACGGGCTCAATTTCTTCGATCACCGTCGTCGCTACAGGAAGCTTGCAGCAGCCTGGACGGGCTGCTCGCCTTCTGGGGGGATCTGGGGTGGTTGGAGTAGGAAGATAAACCACAAATCGCGCACAATGGCCCTATCATGAGGCCAAGTGCGGTATTCGATTGCCCTGCAAAACTAACTAACTAACTAACTAATTAACGCATTCATGAACATCATCTCATATCAATCAATCACTATCACAGAACTGTGACCGCGTGGTTGCGGCGTAGGTAATTAGGCCCTTAGGGTCATGCTTATTAACTTAAGCTGTCGAAAGTGCAGCTAATATGAATACACAAATACTACCCTTTTCTGCGAAGACACTCGAGCTGGTTTCCCAACGTTTACAACTCACAACCTCACGCATCGGTGTTATCTACGCAAATCGTAGGCAACGACCGCGTGTATTGTTGCGAAACTGCTAAATTACCGCGTCAACTTCGTGTTATGTCTTTCATGAACTGAGATTATCTTGGGTAGATTAATTAGGCACAAAGTTTTATGATATTTTAAAGAAGTATTAGCTCTTGTTCGAAAAAATGGTTAAGGAAAATCAAACGTGTTAATGGGAAGCTATTTGTGTTTTATTATGTTAAATAAGTAGGTACCTATACTTTATTAAATTAGAAGTTTATTTTTCATAAAATTTAAATTAATGCCAAAGAGCTTTAGTTATGTGCAATACAATCGTAGCTACATCCAAAGGCCTATAGCGTACAAATTGAATGGTCATCGAAATCCGAAATCCAATATTTAGATATTAGATATTTGGTATACGATCAAATATTTGCCCTTCGCGACTAGAGCCTGTCGAAACCAGGCCCAGTGTTTGCCCGCGCGGTCCTAAGGCCAAAGTCGCAGTTGCGACAGCTGACCGCTTGTCCACTTGTACAGGGCCCTATTCTGCAAATTTTATTAAATATGCAAGACACCATAATCCGAGCCTTTTCAAGGCGAGAGTGAATAGGCACTTACAGGGTAGGAATGTACCATTAACATCAGGTACGATTGCAGTCAAATACCTGCCTTTTTCTGCATTAAAAAAAATGTTAGCCGACTCTTTGAAAATGTTAACACGTTTCAGATATCGAAATTGCTTAACGAAGAAGCGAGTTTAATACTCGTTACATTACTATTGATGATTGGAATCGACGCTTCTGTCCGCTCTAA